GGCAGGTGCGCAGGGGGGGCTGATTCTTCGATTAAGCCGTCTGCTGGAATGAGGCCCCTTTCGGCCCTCATGATGTTAGAAGACGACCCTGGTTGGTTCGGCTCCGTGGGACCCGCGGTCAGGCATTCTCAGGAGATCTGGTTCAGGCACACCTTTTTGTTCGACGGCGCGCTTCCTTGGCACGAGCTTCGGCAAGGTTGGTAACCGGCTTTTCGGAGCTCTCGGTCTGTTGCCTGGAAGCGCGTGTCAGGCCCAATGACGGCCCTTCGGCTTTCTTTATCTCGGATTGGCTGGTCTGTGGGTTCGCTCACGGGATTCATCGACGATTTCGGCAGCAAGATTTCTTTAACCCTCTCGTCTCCTAAGTTGGTGGCCCAGCTGCTCAAGCATGGGGTCTTGGGCTTTGGAAAGGGATGTTGCCGAGAAAGAGCGTATTCAAGGCCGAGTTTGGTTCGGCATCATGAAGTCAGCGTCGTCGTCGTCCAGATTCACGCCCTTGGAGCGAGGTTGTATCAGGAGTCTCGCCACCAACGCTGTTTGGACTCGAGATCGAGCTTTAAGTCTAGGCGACCAGGTGGGCAGCACCGTTTGCCAGATGTGCGGAGTTGGGCCAGACACGCTTTTACATCGGCTTTGGTCGTGCCAGCACTGTGACGAGCAGCGCAGGGAAGTCTTGGGCGACAGGGGTGTAGTTTTCATCGACGAGGCGAAGCACGCGGTCTCTACTGAAGATCTCTTGCTGTTCACCAGAGGGCTCTTCCAGCATCCTGGGGAAACAGTGCCTCCACCTTGTTCGGATGGAGGTGTGGTTTTCGTTCCCGCTCCTGGGGGGGCGTTGGTTGAGGGTGAAAACTTCAAGCTTCAGGGCGAACTGTTTATAGATGGCTCATGTGCCCGTCACCCTATTCGGGAACTTTCCAGGACGGGCTTTGGGGTCCTGGTCCTAAACCAGGACGGTTCCCTGGGGGCTGGTTTGTTTGCTCCGCTTTGGGCGCCGTGGCCCCACGCGCCCCAAAGTGGAGAGTGCGGCATCTTTGCTGCTGTCGCACGCATGCTGGCCGGCCCAACTAATATTTATTCGGATTGCCAGAGTGTAGTATGTCACTCGCAATTTGCCAGGCCGCAGGCCTTGTCGCACAAGCGCATGCACGCTGGTTTCATGCTCCAGGCGCGCATGGGAGATCTTCCAAGTGCGCAGGCAGTCATCAAGGTGTGCGCTCACCAGGAGCTTGATGAATCACTTCCTGCTCGCGAGTAGTTTTTGAGGCGTGGGAACCACCACGCGGACCGTCTGGCCAACCTCGGGAGGGAGCAGCACCCCCTACCAAGCCCAGCAGAAGCGGACGCGACTTGGAGGAAGGTTTCCATTGCGTGCCTGGTAGGAAGTTCGCCGCGCGTTTATTGCCCCTGTGGCCCCGTCTGGACCTTCAGGATGTCGAATGGTTGGCCCCAGAGTCGGCCGCTGCTGGCCGCCAGGAAGGCCTGGCCCACAACTGGGTCCAGCTCAGGCAGTCTTGGCAGTGTTCTGTTTGCCTGAGAGGCTCGCGGCTTTCCCAGCCTCCAGCTTCCAAGTGCCCAGGCGCCGACGGCTTGCGAGGCCTCAAGGCGGAAGTTTTGTCGCACCTAGGGCACGCCGTTGTTGCGTGCGATTGTTCGGATGGCTCCTTTGTTGCAGTGTGCACTCGTTGCAAGCTGTATTCGTCTGGTGGCAGAGTGCGAGGGCTGCGCGAGCGCTGTCCCGCGGAGCTTGTTAATTTGAATGATCACTCCATGTACGGGCGCAGGCACTGTTGGAATCGTAGTATCAAGGGGCTCCATCCCAAGGGGGACGGCATTACCCTGCAGCATGTGGACCTGGCGGCCGAAGGCACACTGGCAGCCTCCCCTGCTTAGAGTAGCCGCCGAGAGCCCAGGCCAGGTGCTGCTTAGAGTAGCAGCCGAGTTAGCACGTTACCGCAACACCGCGGCGCGGCCCGCGCAGGCAATCTACGAGCAAGTTTCACAGGCGAGCTGCAGTGGCCGATCGGCCACGAGCGTCTCGCAGGCACCAGCGTCTGCAGCGGGAGCTGCGACTGGCGCCTCACTCTCGTCCCCACATTGCGCTGCACCCAGCTTTTCGAAATCGACGGCGGTCAGGGCGTCGCGCGGCAGCGCGAATTTCACTCGTAGCTGCGTTTTTTTTTTCCAGGCTTCCTGTCCAGTCCCCGTGGCCTGGAGCGGGGCATTCTTCAGCCAGGCAGCCTGTGCAGTCCACTCTGCCTGTGGAGGGACATTTACACCCTGGCAGCCTCGAGACGGATGACGAGATGGCTCGTCTGCTGCTCGGTGCTTCCGAGGAGGAGGAGGTGGTCGCCAGGTCTTCGTCGTCGGGGGGCGGAGGAGGTACTTCGCACCAGGGGTGATGTTCTGTCGCCCTGGCCGCTTGTGCATCACGGGTCGCTCGCTTGCACGCGTGTCAGGCTCCCCAGCTGCGGGGGAAGGCGCGCAGCTCGATTATCGTCAACTCTTCTGGGCCTGGCACGGGGGCTGCACAGTCCCGACCGCTGCCTTGTCCCATTGGAGGTTTTGCCTCGGCCACTTGAAGCCTTTGCACCTTGCGTTGGAGCGTGTGACGGTGGGTCCTTTGATCGCTCCGGCCAGTTTGCTCAGGCCGCATCTGGAGGGCTCACCATGGGTGCGCTGGCTCTGGTGGCGAGGCGGGCCCACACCTGGGGCTGTCCAGGGGCCGTCCAGGCGTCCGCCCACTCGGGTTAGGTACACCTGGGGTTTGCCTGGCAGTCGTCTTGGCGTCGCCCTGTGTCTTTTATACTTGGTCTGCGACGTGATTGTGCTGGGGCGTACCCCTCATCTGTCAGCAGTTTGGCCGCCGTCCTGGCGTTATTTGCACCATGGGCTGGCCTTCTGCGTTATCCTGTCGCCTCAAAGGTTATGATGTTGCGTGATGTGCGTCTCGTGCACGCGTGTCAGGCACCCCAGTTGTGGGGGAAGGTGCGCAGCACGTACGTTCGTTTTGGCTTGGTTGCACGGCGGCCGCCCTCCTTTTAGAGGTAACGGCGCCCGTTTGTCCCTGCCGTTGTACAGCATGTGGTCGACTCCGACCGACTGGTGCTCTCTCTGCGCCTGGCGGTTTTCGTATCGTCCCGTTTTTCTCACTTCGCCGCCCAGCACAGCTGTTGCGGCTGCTGTTGTCGGGCTCTGCCCGTCGCAGCGATTCGCGCTGGCCTGTACCGAGCCAGCCGTTGCGGCCGACCCTGACCTGTCCAGGGGTCGTGCCGCTCAGCGCATTTCCCTCCACTTGTGCAGTTGTGGAGGGTCTTGAGCTTCTCTGGCGTTGATGTTGCAAAAAAATAATTCTCCTCCTCCTCCTCCTCCCTCCTCCTCCTCCTCCTCCTCCTCCTCCTCCTCCTTCTCCTCTGACTGTCCCGGGTCTGGATGGCCCCGGCCAACAGAGCCCCGAGGCGTGCCCGTGGCCCTCCCGCGAGCACTGCAGGTTGGCCCAGCACCGGGGGGCACTGCGGCAGGGCGGCCCCACGGCGCGGTTCCGGCAGGTGCAGCGCTGCTCGAGGCCAAGAGGCGGCTTGAGAGAAGGAGCAGTGGGAGGAGGATGAGGGGGGAGGCGGGGGAGATCGAGGGGGAGGAGGAGGAGGGGGAGGAGGGGGAGGATGAGGGGGGAGGGTGAGGGGGGGGAGGAGGAGGAGGAGGAGGAGGAGCGGGAGGAGGGGGAGGATGAGGGGAAGGATGATGAGGGGGAGAAGGATGAGGGGGAGGAGGATGAGGGGAAGGAGGATGGGTAAAGGAAAACATATTACAATGAGGGGGAGGAGGGGGACGCCAGCAGCAAGGAGGACGAGTGAAAAAGCAACAGGGCGAGAAGGAGGCACCAGCAGAAGTCGATGCTGCTGCCACCGAGTCGACGGGAAAGCCCTACCTAAGTCGTCTCCTCTTCATGGTTTCCGTACGGTGTCCCCTCTCCTTCTCCCTGCCCTCCGCCCTTTTTCTCTCCCACACTTTCTGCCCTCCCATCCTCTCCATCCTCTCTCTCTCTCTCTCTTTCTCTCTCTCTCTCTCTCTCTCTCTTCTTCCTATATATCTCTATCCCTGTCTCTGTCTCGTCTCTGTCTCTGCCTCTGTCGCTGTCTCTCTCTCTCTCTCTCTCTCTCTCTTTCTCTGTATCTCTGTCTCTGTCTGTGTATCTCTCTCTCTCTCTCTTTCTCCCCATTTCTTTTTTCAATACATCCGTAGATCGAAGACGCCTACGGCGAATCACCGCCGCCCCCTGCTTTTTAGGAAGCGCCTATGTGGCCGAAGGTTGTGGCCAGAGGCCTGCCAAGCTATCGGACCATGTGTTCCCCGAATCGGTTTGGAAAGCCTTCGGGGAACACGTGGGTATCTTGAAGGGCATCTTGGCCGTCTGGAGGCCATTCTGACCCTTTCGGGCCTTCTTGGAGGACGTCTTGGAGGGCTCTTGGGCCGTCTTGGAGGCCTCCTGGGGCCGTGTCTTGGGCCTCATGGGCGATCTTTGTGGGCACTTGGGCCGTATCGGGCCGTCGGAAGGCGGAACAAAGCAAATACCACAATCCTTCAAAAACCATGGCAAATCAATGATTTTGGCATTTTTCGGGCCTTCGTGGAGGCCCTCTTGGAGGCCTCTTGGGCCGTCTTGGGACATCTTAGGGCCATGTTCGGCCGTCTTGGTGGGCTCCTGGTCTGACGCCGTCGGAAGCCGTTTGGGGGGCCTCTATGGGCCGACTTGGGGCCCTCTTGGAATGCTCCAGGGCCGTCTTGGAGGCCATCCTGGGCGTCTTAAAGGCCTCCTGTGCCGTCTTGGGGGCCTCTTGGGGCCGTCTTGGGGCCCTCTTGGGCCGTTCTCCGTAGCCATTTTGGCTCAAGGTGCCTCTGCCCCGGCGGTGTCCAATGGATACCGCTGGACCGCGGACAGATCTGGAGATTTCGGGGGCGGAGCCCATACAACTCACAGGACCCGAGCAGGTGTGCGTGCCATGGCGGCGTGGGCGCCACCGTGGCGCGGTGGGCGCAGTGGGAAAAGCAAGTGGTCCTGCAGCTGTGGGACAGAGGACAACTACGCGACGAGGAAGCACTGCCGTGGGTGTGGGGCTAAAGCACCACGGCGGCCGATCACCTTCAAAGAAGCGCTGCTGGGCCCGACCAAGCGGGAGGTGGCCATGCAGAAGAAGCTGGACGCGCGCACGCAGGAGCTCACGGCGCTCAGGGGCAGCGGCAAGGTCGGCAAGGAAGAGACTGTGGACGGGGCGAAGGAAGCACAGCAGGTCGACCTGGCGAGGCACTACAAGTGGGCGCAGGCGTGCAAGAGCGAGTGGGGGGAGAACTCGGAGGAGTACAAGGCAGCTTTTGCGAAGTACCAGGCGGCCAGGGCGGAGAAGGACAATGCCAAGCCGCCCTCCGTGCAACTCACGCAGGCGAAGCACGCCAGGGAGAAGTTGGAGAAGGAGGTTGAGGCGAGCGCAAACGACGCCAGCTGGTACGAGCAGCAGCTGGAGGAGGCGCGAGCCAAGTACGAAAAGAAAAAGGAGCAGCTGCAGATCGCGAAGGCCAAGGAGCAGGAGCTCAGGGTGCAGGAATGCGGAGTCCGTGGGTCGCCAGAGTTCCTCAAGGCCATGCAGAGGCAGCTCGAGGATGCGATCGACGGCAGCGGAGTCACCAAGGAGGAGCACCAGCAGGTGTTCGACCCGCTCGGCAAGGTCATGGCCAATGCGAAGCAGGAGGACGTGGACATGGCTGCTGCAGTTGGTGCTGATATGCCTCGGGCACATGGTGCAGGTCGGGGCGCAGGAGCACCAGAAGTACCAGGAGAAGCACTACCCGAGGAAGCAGAACTCCCAGAGCTCACTGCTGAAGAGCAGGAATGGCTCAGGGCAGGCGGTGCACCAGCAGATGCTACACCCGATCAACGGAAGCGTTGGCAGGAGGTGTGCGCTCGCCTGGCCGAGCAGGCAGCCAAGAGACAGCGGCGAGGGTAGTAAGCGCAACAGGAAACCCCAGCATGATACGGTCACCTTGTGAACGTACAACGGCACTGGTTGGGGCACCAGCAAGGATAATATCATGGAGGATATGCAGGGCCTGCAGTGCTATGCAGTGCAGGAGAATCACCTGAACACGGACAAGCTTGCGGTGGTCACGCAGAGCATGAAGGCTGAAGGTTACCTCGTGGGTGGCTCTGCGGCGGTGGCCGCAACGGGAGCCAACGGCGAGCCAGGCACGTCGGCGGGCGTGGCTGTTGCGGTGCCGAAGCGAGTTGGGATGAGTTGCCTTTTCGGCAAGGATGACTGGGGCATTTCCCCGCGGGCCAGCCCGGGCAGGGCGGCAGCGGCGTGGCTCTCAGTAGGCAGAGGTATTGTGCTTGCCCCCTGTGTACCTGTGGACAGTGGACGGCATGACGTACAGGAACACGCAGCTGACCAAGCATGTGATTGGAAAGTTGAAGAGTTTGGGTGTCCCGTGGGTCATCGGGGGCGATTTCCAGGTGGCGCCAGAGGCTATGGCGAACGTGAGGAGCGTTCAAGTTGCGAAGGCCACAGTGGTCACGGCTAACGCAGCGTGCGGAACCTGCAGACACGCGCATGGCAACAGCGAGATCGATTATTTCGTGGTGGCAAACTCGGTGATTGCGCAGGTGGGGCGCGTCGCGGTGCAGGAGACGCGGCCTGCAGCACCACGTAGACCAGTGAGGCTCACGACGAAGCTGAAGGCGGAGCAGCTCAGGGTGAGGGTGCTCGAGAAGCCCAGGGAGCTGCCAGAGGTGCCGATCGGGCGCGTGCCCGCGCCACCGAGACATGCGGACGTGAAGGAGTTTAGCACGCAGATGGCTGCGAACACCAAGTGGGCCAAGTACATGCAGGTGCTGAAAAGGGAGGCTTTCCAGGTGCGAGGCATGAAGTGGGAGGCGAGTGACCCGCGCGCAGGCAGGGCGGAAGAGCCCACGTGGCGCGTCAAGCCCCTGACCTTCGGGGGTGCAAACGTACCGACAGCGGCTAGGGCAGCGACCTGGTGGAGATGGGCTGCGCGGACCTTGCGCAGCTTGCAGGGCGCGCACCAGCGGTGGCGGAAGGCAAGGGAGAGGGGCCCTGACGAGTACCAGAAGCGGAAGAGCGAGGTTCACCACACGGAAAGGCTCTTCCAGGTGCGCCCCCACCGAATGAGGTCATCAGCGTAACGGGCCAGGGCGCATGGCAGGCCAGGTGCGACATGATTGGAGCGAGCCATCTGAGGGACGTCAGCAGGGGCGATACCTTCCAGGCCTAGATGAAGGACGATGAGAGCAGAATGAAGGCAGTCGATCAGCAGCTGATCAAGGACGGGAAGGCCAAGTGGGCTGACACGCTGGAAGCCGCGGCAGCAGGTGCGGCAGGAAGGCTTCGCAAGATGAGCAAGGCAGTTGCGGCGTGGAGGCCTAGGCGCACAGGTACGATGGCCAAGGCAGCGGACACCATGGAGGCGGCGGAGTTCACCTTAGCCGAGTGGAAGAACTTTTGGCGGGTTGGCGAGGTCTTCCAGGAGGGGCCAGGGCCCTGGGTGTACGATCCCAGGGATGAGCTGGATGACTACACCGAGGAGGACGTCAGCAGGCTAAAGATGGTGGCCCGCACCATCAGGACCCGCACAGGTATCGGGGTGGACCGCTGGCACCCGTCGATGCTGCAGGGAGCGAGTGGCGAGGCGTACCACAAGCTGCTGGACGTAATGCGGGAGGTGGAGCGCGCGCTGAGGTGGCCGATCCACATGGGCACGGTGCTGTTCTTCATTACCCCGAAAACCTTCACGACATATAGGGTTATAGGGTTCCTGCCCGCCACCATGCGTATATGGGAGATCACGCGGGAGCCATACATGACTAGGTGGGCGAAGGAGAACCAGATGAGCCAGGACTGCACCAGCTTCGGCAAGGCAGCGGAGGACGCTGCATGAGGCGCGCCGCTGAGTCACGAAATGGGTAATCCAGAGGATCAGGGCGAGGAGCTGGAGGCCACGATCACGGCGGTATTGGACCTGATCAAGGCCTTCGAGCGGGTTAGCTTGTTTGTCTTATGGGAGGCGGGCAAGCAGCTGAAATTCAACACGGGGGTGTTGGCAGTGGTGTGCTCGTATGTTGCGATGGCCAGAAGGCTGATTGTCGGGGAATCTGTCTCCAGCGCCACCGGCGCGGTGGGCGCGATCATAGCAGGAAGTAAGTTTTCAGTGTGCTTCCTGAAGCTGGTCATCCAGTCCACGGTGGACGGCCTAGTGGTGGGGGGGCCGCGGGCGAAATGGCGTATGTATGTGGACGATCTTTGTGTGCGGCTACGCCAGCAGCAACAGTGCACCGTGCATGACTTCAGCGACGCCATTGACGCCTGCTTCGAGGGCTTCGGCAAGCTGGGCCTGAAGTTCTCGGTGGGCACCCAGGGCAAAGGGGCCGTTCTGGCCAGTACCAAGTGGGTGCGCAAGGCGGCGGCGAAGGAGATGAACGCGCGTGGGCTGCCCGTGGTGCGAGCATGCCCGTACCTGGGCGTCGACCTCATCGCGAACGGCACGGCAGCGAAGACCAAGTGCGGCAAGCGATGCAATACCATGCTGGACAGAAGTCGGCGGCCCGCGAACCTCAAGGGCGGCGGCCGCAAGATGGCGAAGGGCACGGCTTTGGTCTTTAAGTGTGGCCTTAAGCGCTCGGTCCTGCACGGGTGCAAGTGCTTGGGCATGCCAGACCATCAACTACGACGAACTCGGCGAGAAGCGGGACAAGCACTACCAGGAGGGCGTGGAGCCAAGACCATCACGCTGCAGCTGGCGCTGGCGAACGAGGGGCCCACCTACGGGGCCACCGAGGCGCCCATCGTCCGATGGGCAAGGGCAGTACGGGAGGAATCGTCAAGCGCTGGACGGCCAGGGGCGGATCCCGAGCACGCCTTCGGCAATGCAGTGGAATTATTGATGAAGGCGTGGAAGCGCCTGCAGCAAGGGGTAGGCATGAAGCCCATGTGGGCCAGGGTACGTGGGCCTGCGGGCGCGGTGGTCATGTCGCTCAAGCGTGCGCAGTGGGCGTGGCCAGCCTGGCATGCGGTTATCACCAAGGACGGTTACGAGCTAGACATGAGGGAAGTGTGCCCCATGGGTGTCGCGGCGATGCGGCGGAAGGACGCGCAGCAGAAGCTGTGGCAGGACTGGACGGCGGCGGACGAGTGCGCAAGCCTACGGCCAGCGCCGATGGTCGCCCCAGCGGTGGCGCAGCTGAAGGCGCGGGACTTCCCGAAGCACGCCAATAATGCAGCGAGGAAGGCCTTCATCGGCGGGAGCTGGACCATGAGCAAGCTTTGCGAGTGCAACACCGTGCCAGAGGACATCTGCTTGGCGCGCGGGGAGGCGGTGGGCACCCCGCACCACAGGCATTTCAAATGCCAGGCCTTGAGGGAGCGGCGCTTGCGGGCGCAACCTGAGTGGCAGACGGTGGCAGCACAGCAGGAGGATAGCTTGCTCTGGACGCGTGGGCTGGTGATCCACCCAGAAGCGGACTGGAAGTTCGACGGGGGTCGATGAGGGCCAGTACATGTGCCAGACTGTCGAGGGCGATGGAGACTATTTCACAGGCGACATCGTGTGCGATGGGTCCAAGATAGGCTACAGTGAGTGGGCGCAGACGGGCTGGGCGGCCACGTCGATCAACGAGAACGGGATGCCGAAGTACCAGATGTGGGGGCCGCTGCCGTGCACGCCCCCAGTGCACATGGAGATAAAGCGCGCGGAGATGTCGACTTTCTACCAGGCACTGGAGAGGAAGCCCGGCAAAGGCAACATCTACACTGATCACAGGGGCAACATCGAGGGCCTGCAGAAGGGGGGGAGATGGTGCATCAGCTGGAAGCGGCCGCACGCTGACATCTGGAAGCGCATCTGGCACAAGGTGCGTGACCTCGACCTGGATGTGAACGGGGTTTACCACGTCAAGGCTCACAGGTCCAAGGCGAAGATAGAGCAGCTCACGGGCACGGAGCCCAAGGTCGCGAAAGGCAGTGCGGAGGTGGACCTGCTAGCCAAGGCTGGGGCCGAGCTGGATGCGAACTACGGGAGGCGCCAGACAGTGGAGGAGCTGGCTGGCCGCGTACACTGGGCGGCGCTGAACATCGGCTGGTGGCATCAGCAGATGGAGGGCGAGTGGCCAGACGTACCAAAGCGTGAAGGCACGAGGTGAAGGAGTACGGTGGCTGGGTGTGGCGCGCGCGGTGCGGTAGGCGAGCCGCCGCAAAGCGCATGGGGAGGAAGCTCTGGGAGTCGGACTGCCAGCCGCCGCCGTGGACCTCAGCGGGTTCGCGCAATACAGGCAGGGTGGGCTCCCTGGAGGCGAGCGTCGCGGTGGTGATGGCTGCAGCCGCTGCAGCGGCGGCAAGGGCGCAGCCTGCAGGAGAACCACCACGACGAACGCCAACAGCACCTGTGCAGGAGGACGGGCCGCGTCAGCACAGAGTGGAGGTGCATGGGCCGTTCGTGGTGTGCACGGCGTGCGGTGCCTACTCTGCGCGGAGGCGGGCGGGCCTGGGGACTGCCTGCACGGGGCCGCTGGCAAGGAGGGGCATCAGCACAAAGGATGACGCCAAGCGCAACAAAAGGGGCAGGATTCTGGCGGAAAAGAATCCTCAGACGGGGGGGCCGCTGGAGGACGGGCTCCAGCTGCCAGTACGACGTGGGTGAGTACTACGGGATCTTCGAGAAGATCTGAGTCTTGCCTGTTGGCGGGGTCCGCTACAGGCATGGGGGAATTTAACAAAAGAGCCCTCTTGGGCCGTTCTGGAGCCATCTTGGAGGCCACTTGGGCGATCTGTCGGCGATCTTTGGGGGCTCTTGGGCCGTCTCGGGCCGTCGCAAGGCCGAAAAGAAGCTAATGTCAACCAGCCCGTCAAATACCTTAGGGAAATCAATGTTTTTGGCCTCGTCTGGCCTTCCTGGGGGCCTTCTTGGGGGACTCTTGTGCCGTCTTGGGCCCGCTTTGAGCCAACTTCGGCCATCTTGGTGGGTTCCTGGCACGTCTAACGCCGTCGGGAGCCGTCTTGGGGGCCTTTCTGGGCCGACTTGTGGCCCTCTTGGGGCGCTTCGGGGCCGTCTTGGAGGCCATCTTGGGCGTCTCAGAAGCCATTTTGGGCGTGTTGGAGGCCTCTTGGGCCGTGTTGGGGCCCTCTTGGGGCCGTCGTGGAGGCTACTAGGGTCGTCATGGGGCCCTCTTGGGGGCCTCTTGGGCGATCTGTGGGGCCTCTTGGGCCGTCTTCAGCTGTCGGAGTGCCGAGAAGAAGCAAATCCCCAAATCCTTCAAAAACCTAAAGGCAATCATTGGTTTTGGCCTCTTCGGGCCCTCTTGGAGGACCTCTTGGAGGCCTTTTGGGCAGTCTTGGAGGCCTCTGGGGGGCCTCTTGGGCCGTCTTGGGCCGTCTTGGACTCTCTTGGGCCGTCTTGGAAGCCGTCTTGGACCATCTTGGGCGGACTTGCAGGCCATCTTGGACCATCTTGGAGGCCATCTTGGGCCATCTTGGCCATCTTGGACGCCATCTTGAGCCGTCTTGCAGGATTTTTTCGGGACGTTGGGGTCCTGGATGGTCCTCCCGGGACCCCGGCGGGACGGGCCGAAGCGCCAGGGGAAGTTCTTTTGGAAAAAGAGCCAAAACCAAAACCGAAAGGATCCAGCACGCCAGGCCCCCCTGCGATGAATCGACAGGGGGCGGCGGATCCGAATGGCCTTCGGCCTAACCCGCCACCGTGCCTGGGGTTGTGGATTCGTGTCCTTAGGCCTTCCTGCGGGGGTCTCTCGGGAGGCCTTTCGGGAGCGTCTTGGGCACCGTCTTGCGGCCTCTCGGCGGCCGCTCTGGGGCCTCTTGGGTCTCTTGGCGGCCTCTTGGGGGCCACTCGGGGAGCTCTTGAAAGCCTGCTGGCGGACCTTCTTGGGGCGTAGGGCGCCAAAAGCCAGTAAAAGCCAATCCGTGCTTCCCCTCGTGGGCCCCTCGTGGGGCCCTCTTGGGCTGGCTTGGAGACCTCGTCGGATGTCTTGGGGCCCTCTTGGGCCGTCTTGGGGCACTCTTGGTCTTTGGGGGGCCTCTTGGGCCGTTTTGGAACGATTTCGGGGCCCTCTTGGGACGTCTTGGAGCGTCGGAAGACCAGAACGTCGAGAACGCCCAAAACGTGCATCACCGACGGAGCATGATGCATTTTTGCCTCTCGGGGCCCTCTTGGGTATGCTTTTGGAGGTCCTTTCGGGCGTCTTGGAGGCCTCCCGAGCGGTCTGGAGGGCATCTGGAGCGTCTTGGACGGATCATTCGGCGACTCGAGGCCCTCTTGTACTGCCTGAAATTGACGGCTACGGCTACAGCTTTTCCAACGAGGCCTGCAACCATCTGTCCAGCGTCCAGCGTCCACACCTGTGGGTTCAAGGGCGCTGCCATCGCACCAAACGGGCGGTGCGTCCAAGACCTGTATTGCGGCCTCACAGAGTGTGCCCCAGGCCC